CGGACCGCGTTAACCTTGCACATGTACCACCCCTGCATCTCGCAGCACTGGCCACACGGGAAACCCGCCTCTTGGTCCGTGGCCCCAGGCGAGAAAGCCTTGCTGCCAAGAGTCTCCCCCAGGTCCTGCTCGTGCCAGTCGTCCGCCGTCCTGCCCTCGGCCTCCATCCTGTAGTCGCGGACCCAGTCGATGAAGCAGACCGCGCCCGTCTGGCACCCGGTCGGCTCAACCCTGACCCGCGGGCCGGAATCCGCCACGCCCAGCGGCCTCAGCTCCGAGCTGCAATTCTGGTCCCTGGCGACGCGGTCGAAAGAGCCTGAGCGGGCGTCCTCGCACAGACTCCACAGGGCCAGCTGACCCTCCGAGGTACTCAGCTGCTGGATGCTGCTGGGGTCCAGGATCGGAGTGCCCAAGTCCTCTGGGTCCCTTGCGTTTGTCCCCGCACGATCGAGAGCGTTGTCCGCGTCTATGCCGAACACGACATGCACCTGAACCTTGGGGGTATCGGCGCTCTTGAAGAATCCATCGCCTGTACCGACTACCTCGAACCATCGGGACCCGTACTCGTCGTTGAAAAACTGAGGCCCCTCTGTGGTCAAGCGGAGCTGGGTACCGACAACGCACGCGGCTGCGATGACGAGCACGAGCCAGACGAGCGCGATAGGCACCTTGAATCTCTGCACCAGCGGGGCCCATCTCTCCTTGAAGAACCTCTCAAGGGGACGGAGCTTCTCGACCTCACCCTCACATCCCGCACTCCCTACGCATTTACCGAATCCCCGGTTGATCAGAACGCACGGGCCAGACCAGCTCTTGAAATGAGTCTGGAAGGCCACTATCGCCGAGGCGAAGAATGTAATCACCAGGAGGAAATCAAAAGCGATCACAAAAGCGCCGAAGATGCCGAATGACGAGATGGATGGTATTGGCGTTATGCCTGCAGCCAGCATGCTGAAGAAGGTTGTGGCCGACGTGACGGTCATCGCGCTACGTGCACGGCGCAGAGCGTACGCGAACTTCCTCTCTGGCGTGCCGTCGCTCCTGTCCTTGAAGAAGGCGTCAGCTTGCTGGTATGCGTCCCACAACACGAAAATGTCGTCAGCCCCGATGCCAAGAATCAGAAATATGATGCACAGGGTGAAAAATGTCAGGAATTTAGCCTGCATGACGCCCCATATGAATGTGGCCAGGGGGATCGATAAGACGATCTCGGCCATTCCCACGGAGGCTAGAAAGGCTGACGTGGTCCCAAACCAAAGCCACAGGAAGACCACCACGAAGGATCCGATGGCGAAGAAGAGGTCCCCTTGCAACGACGACAGAAAGAACACTGCTTCTGTGCCTGCCCCGCTGAAGTACACGTTGAAATTGCCATCCGACACATCTTTCCTCACGTCTGCTAGCGCACGGTAGATGTCTCCTGTGGTCCACTCCTCCAACCGCTCTTGCATCTTTTCGTTGTCATCGTTGTTGTCGATGTTGGAATAACCCTGCAGAGGGTACCCGAAGCTGTATGTCGACCGGGCCCTTTTCGAAGAGCCGTCCGAACAGGAAAAGTCAGCGCCGAAGGAAAACCTCGCCTGCTCTTCGTTAAGTACCTGGGCGCTCGCCGTGCACGGCAGCTGCGCGTTCTCGTTGCTGTTGAGACAGGTGTCGGGCAGGTCCGCGCAGCCGCCGTCCTCTGATTTGCTCGCACAGCACAAGCAGCGCAGGTGCGACACACGGTCCGCGTCGAGAGGGGCCTCGTCCAAGACTGGGTCGAAGACCGCGGACGTGCAAGGCGCCTGGCCATACCAGGAGTTTGTGCCACACATGTCCCTCGCCTCCTGCCAGAAGGGGGTGGCACCGCAGGGCCCGAAGCCCTGCTCGGTCTGGTGCTCCTGAGTGGCGGCGGCGCGAGCCACCAGCTTCAGCGGAGTGTTGTGCGAGCGGCACCTGCCCTCGGTGCGTTGAAAGCATAGGTCAGCAAGCAATGCTCTTTATACTTCGCGTCGCCCACGATGACGCTCTCCACCTTACGAATCTTCGCCAAGTTCTCCTCGCTCATGATGTTGCCATCGTTGACCTCGTAAATCAAGATGAGGCTCGCGAGGGTCTTGCTACGCTCGGCGACCACGCCCTGCTGGAGCGACGCGGCGGGGTCTTGGTCTTTCCCCTGCTGCAGCGCGTTGAATTGCATCACGACTGGGTCTCCGACGACGTCCCACTGGTCCTGGGTGGCCAACACCACCACCTTGCTCTGGTACATTGCTCCGGCCATCATCGAGAAGAAGAGCGCTGCCGCGAGGAAGCTGCAGCAGGCGCAGCAAGGTCTCTCAACGATGAAGACCTCGAAGCGGGTGGGCTCCGTCTCGACCGCATTCACGCTGCCAGACCTCCCCAGTGGTGCCTGCTTGGATTCGGCGGCGGTGACCGCACCTGGCCCGGCAGCAAGCACATCGTCGCCTTCAGGAGCAGTCGGGCGGCCAATCACTGGCCGCTGGGAACTCGTGGCAGACAT